GTCTCAATAGATCTAGAGTATACTGGTTTAGTTACGATTCGGTCTCTTTATCAATTATTCAAAAATCAGATCAAATATATCTTTTTCGGAACCTGCATTTGTTTCCAAGACAGTTTCGAAACCAAAGCAGTCTGCGTTTATGGAAGATTTTGAGTTTAGTAAAAAGCTACTTCAGCGAACTTTGTAACAATTATTAATTGATACCCTTAGTAAATAAAAATTAAATATGATTCGAAAAATAACTGTGGCTAAAAAATTTTGCTGCAGGTTGAACTTCCCGGAGCAAAATGCTCACTTTGTGTTTCGACAATTTCGAGCTAAGTTTGATGTGTTTTGGCACCCTTGATCAAAAATTTTGGGTTTGTTTTGACTTCCTTGATAAAAAATAATGTTCGCATTTTTTTTTGTACAAAGCCAGAAATATTCGAACCGTATCAAACAAACTCGAGTTAGCTTCGACCAAATAAAAATGTAGGGTCTTTCTTCGAACTTAAAATGAATGTTTGACTACACTCGATTCATTTTTTGACCTTGGTCGACATATTTTAAAATTGATTCGGCCGTCTTCAAAGTATAATTTGATCATATTGGAGATATGTTTGAAAATTTCGGCCTTTTGTTTATCAACCACACGGTTTTGTTGAAAACCACAGGTCTTGTTTATCAATTGGCGTCACAAATGTTCAAAAAGATTCATATTTGTCTCTAAATTCAAAAGCATTCCCTCAGAGTTTTGATGTTTGCTTTGAAATTATTCTAAATTGAATGTGTTTGATTTTGCAGCACGCTCTAGTAAAAGCATTTTCTTCAGAATCATTTAGTTTCTCAAAATTTTCTGCTTTGAGACAATGTTTTTTTATTAAAATGAAAAAAAAAGTTTTATATTTGACCAAACTCGGGTATGTTTTGAACATGTTCAACCAATTTCTAATGTTTCAACCATGCTCGAAGTTTTTTTTTCCAGTTTGTTCTCGACCCACAACTTTTGTTTTATGTTATGCTGTGTTTTTGGCCGAGCATCGTTTTTGAAAGTAGAAATATAGAGTGAGCTTCATAACAGAGATTAAAGAAACTACGTTTTTGAAGTCAAAGACAAGTTGTCTAACTAAAAACGCTTGATATTCAAGCTTCCCGGCTTTGAGACAATGTTTTTTTTTTATTAAAATGAAAAAAAAAGTTTTATATTTGACCAAACTCGGGTATGTTTTGAACATGTTCAACCAATTTCTAATATTTCGACCATGCTCGAGGTTTTTTTTTCCAGTTTGTTCTCGACCCACAACTTTTGTTTTATGTTATGCTGTGTTTTTGGCCGAGCATCGTTTTTGAAAGTAGAAATATAGAGTGAGCTTCATAACAGAGATTAAAGAAACTACGTTTTTGAAGTCAAAGGCAAGTTGTCTAACTAAACACGCTTGATATTTAAGCTTCCCGGCTTTGAGAAAATGTTTTTTTTTATTAAAATGAAAAAAAAAGTTTTATATTTGACCAAACTCGGGTATGTTTTGAACATGTTCAACCAATTTCTAATATTTCGACCATGCTCGAGGTTTGTTTTTCCAGTTTGTTCTCGATCCACAACTTTTGTTTTATGTTATGCTGTGTTTTTGGCCGAGCATCGTTTTTGAAAGTAGAAATATAGAGTGAGCTTCATAACAGAGATTAAAGAAACTACGTTTTTGAAGTCAAAGACAAGTTGTCTAACTAAACACGCTTGATATTTAAGCTTCCCGGCTTTGAGAAAATGTTTTTTTTTTATTAAAATGAAAAAAAAAGTTTTATATTTGACCAAACTCGGGTATGTTTTGAACATGTTCAACCAATTTCTAATATTTCGACCATGCTCGAGGTTTGTTTTTCCAGTTTGTTCTCGATCCACAACTTTTGTTTTATGTTATGCTGTGTTTTTGGCCGAGCATCGTTTTTGAAAGTAGAAATATAGAGTGAGCTTCATAACAGAGATTAAAGAAACTACGTTTTTGAAGTCAAAGACAAGTTGTCTAACTAAACACGCTTGATATTTAAGCTTCCCGGCTTTGAGAAAATGTTTTTTTTTTATTAAAATGAAAAAAAAAGTTTTATATTTGACCAAACTCGGGTATGTTTTGAACATGTTCAACCAATTTCTAATATTTCGACCATGCTCGAGGTTTGTTTTTCCAGTTTGTTCTCGATCCACAACTTTTGTTTTATGTTATGCTGTGTTTTTGGCCGAGCATCGTTTTTGAAAGTAGAAATATAGAGTGAGCTTCATAACAGAGATTAAAGAAACTACGTTTTTGAAGTCAAAGACAAGTTGTCTAACTAAACACGCTTGATATTTAAGCTTCCCGGCTTTGAGAAAATGTTTTTTTATTAAAATGAAAAAAAAAAGTTTTATATTTGACCAAACTCGGGTATGTTTTGAACATGTTCAACCAATTTCTAATATTTCGACCATGCTCGAGGTTTGTTTTTCCAGTTTGTTCTCGATCCACAACTTTTGTTTTATGTTATGCTGTGTTTTTGGCCGAGCATCGTTTTTGAAAGTAGAAATATAGAGTGAGCTTCATAACAGAGATTAAAGAAACTACGTTTTTGAAGTCAAAGACAAGTTGTCTAACTAAACACGCTTGATATTTAAGCTTCCCGGCTTTGAGAAAATGTTTTTTTTTATTAAAATGAAAAAAAAAGTTTTATATTTGACCAAACTCGGGTATGTTTTGAACATGTTCAACCAATTTCTAATATTTCGACCATGCTCGAGGTTTGTTTTTCCAGTTTGTTCTCGATCCACAACTTTTGTTTTATGTTATGCTGTGTTTTTGGCCGAGCATCGTTTTTGAAAGTAGAAATATAGAGTGAGCTTCATAACAGAGATTAAAGAAACTACGTTTTTGAAGTCAAAGACAAGTTGTCTAACTAAACACGCTTGATATTTAAGCTTCCCGGCTTTGAGAAAATGTTTTTTTTTTATTAAAATGAAAAAAAAAGTTTTATATTTGACCAAACTCGGGTATGTTTTGAACATGTTCAACCAATTTCTAATATTTCGACCATGCTCGAGGTTTGTTTTTCCAGTTTGTTCTCGATCCACAACTTTTGTTTTATGTTATGCTGTGTTTTTGGCCGAGCATCGTTTTTGAAAGTAGAAATATAGAGTGAGCTTCATAACAGAGATTAAAGAAACTACGTTTTTGAAGTCAAAGACAAGTTGTCTAACTAAACACGCTTGATATTTAAGCTTCCCGGCTTTGAGAAAATGTTTTTTTTTTATTAAAATGAAAAAAAAAGTTTTATATTTGACCAAACTCGGGTATGTTTTGAACATGTTCAACCAATTTCTAATATTTCGACCATGCTCGAGGTTTGTTTTTCCAGTTTGTTCTCGATCCACAACTTTTGTTTTATGTTATGCTGTGTTTTTGGCCGAGCATCGTTTTTGAAAGTAGAAATATAGAGTGAGCTTCATAACAGAGATTAAAGAAACTACGTTTTTGAAGTCAAAGACAAGTTGTCTAACTAAACACGCTTGATATTTAAGCTTCCCGGCTTTGAGAAAATGTTTTTTTTTATTAAAATGAAAAAAAAAGTTTTATATTTGACCAAACTCGGGTATGTTTTGAACATGTTCAACCAATTTCTAATATTTCGACCATGCTCGAGGTTTGTTTTTCCAGTTTGTTCTCGATCCACAACTTTTGTTTTATGTTATGCTGTGTTTTTGGCCGAGCATCGTTTTTGAAAGTAGAAATATAGAGTGAGCTTCATAACAGAGATTAAAGAAACTACGTTTTTGAAGTCAAAGACAAGTTGTCTAACTAAACACGCTTGATATTTAAGCTTCCCGGCTTTGAGAAAATGTTTTTTTTTTTATTAAAATGAAAAAAAAAAGTTTTATATTTGACCAAACTCGGGTATGTTTTGAACATGTTCAACCAATTTCTAATATTTCGACCATGCTCGAGGTTTGTTTTTCCAGTTTGTTATCGATCCACAACTTTTGTTTTATGTTATGCTGTGTTTTTGGCCGAGCATCGTTTTTGAAAGTAGAAATATAGAGTGAGCTTCATAACAGAGATTAAAGAAACTACGTTTTTGAAGTCAAAGACAAGTTGTCTAACTAAACACGCTTGATATTTAAGCTTCCCGGCATAATTGGCGGACCTACCCCCAGGAAATGCAAAAAAACTTGCCGTTCTTGCGGTAGGTTAGTGAATCGATGTGTCAGTAAACTGATAAGGAGTGGGCTATTTCAAACCAAATTTGCATCATTCAGTTACGTTAACTCAGGTTGAAGGTCAATTGCGCTGAAGATTGACATCAGAAAGCTCAGGGGCGGATATAACTAAGATTTTATCAGGGGCAACTTTGAAAAAAATATATCGACCTTGTTTTACAGGTTGACCGAATTGATTTTCTGAGTGCTTCCAGAATGCTTTGAAGACCGTATTATGACCAAAAAAACTTTGCGCCGCTTGCAAATTTTTTGAAGTGACAAAGGTCAAAAGTGACGTTTTTGGGAACTTTTTGGAAACTTTGACCAAAAAGTTGCGTTTTTTCGGCGCTCGCTTGCATTCAACAATAATATGCAATGGCGCCAAAGAGGCTTTTAGAAAAATTCCAGGGTTGTTCAGCGCAAATGGTTGTCATAAAAAAATAGCGAAGGTGGGAACCTTTGGTTGGTGAAGGAGTCGAATCCCTCAGTCTAACCCCTAAATCCTCCACTGTGTACAATATGACAACTTATTGTAAGAATTAATTTATTTGGGTTACTGATCTAGTAAATTATTTACACATCGGGTCACTGAAAGCACCCCTTATTTTTTTCATTGTTTGGTTTTTCGAGACAAGGAAAGCTTCAAAAAAATTACCCCAAAAGTTTAGCACAGATGTTTTGATTCCCTCCCATTATAAGATCTAAATCTACGTGCAAGTAGTATCAGAAAGACAAAACTATTTTCAATTTATTGCAAAAAAGGTCATATTTTTCATTTTGTTTTTAAAAGAAACTGGGCATAATTTCAATTAATAAGAATTTCGAGTTCAATACAATATTTCAACTTTCTTTACAAAATTACAAATCTACCAACTCTAATTTAGATGCATAATCAGTCAAATCTAAAAGCAAATTGTCATTCTCTCTCCTTGATTTCAATTGCACAATAAAGATTGCATTCACATATTCTAGATTATTCTCGAAGGTTCTCTATACGTAAGTGACTGGATCTTCTGACTCTTCGGGGCTGAGATTTTTGTTCTCACAGCCGACTCTTCTGATCAAACTGCCCAAACTAAAATGAATTTATATTTTTGGGTTTAATTGCTTGTTAAAGTGAATATAATGCAACGGATATCTCTATATAATGCAGCAGTTATGTACTGTTGCATTATCCATACTACTTATTAATCTGATTCAAGTAAAATTAGGACAAGACTTCTGCTCATATCAAATTGGCAAGCATTCATAGTTTCGACAGGCTGCCCTTCAGTTGAGTTCAAGAAGCTTCTAGTTTTTAACTAAAATTGAATTGTTCCCAAATGGATCGTAATGTTGTGGGAAAAAAAAACTCAAGGAGCAGTGTCATGGAAGAGTCGTTTCAAAAATTGAAAGTCGTCTCGACAAAACAATTGTATTTGAGAGAAACCAAAAATGGCTCCGCCAACCGCTAAACATTCCTTACGTTCTTTGAACGTCGAAACAAAATTAAGCCCTAGCAAACTGTACTACTAGATTTGCATAAAAAACACATCCTAATGCAATGTTCATCTTTTACTGTGATAGTTCGGATAAAAAATTTGCAGGATATCTATGTGTTGATTTCATCGGACTGTGCCACAAAAAGTAGATATTTGAAAGAAAAACCCGCAGCTAAAGAAACATGACCCGGTTTTGTATATCAGTAAAAATTTCAAGTATAAATTAACTAGGATAGCAGGTTGCTGCCCAAGTATCACAAATTACTCTAAGCATATTCTCAGAAATTTTCTTTTCTACAAATTAGTGTCTTTTCTTGTGTTTCGTATGTTGATAGAACTATACAAACGCGAAGAATTTTAGTGAATTAGGCATAAAAAACTACGATTGTCTTCAAAAACTAAAGAAAGAAAAAGGAAAAAAAATGAAAAAAAAAATTTCTTAAAACGTTTCCCAATTTTTTGCACGGCCAGAGAAGCACTACGTGAAGCTTCCAAATTTAGTTTTTCTGTGGTAAAATCAAGTTTTTTTTAGCCTAAATGGCTAATTTCTATACGTTACTCGATTGCTTTGGTCGCTCAAAACTAGGTTGAAACTTAAAATTTTTAAACCAGTTTTTTTTCAACACTGGGACAATTTTTCCGCATTTTTTGATGTCATGCGATTCACGACTGAAAACCTTATACTCGGACTTATCATTTGACCCAGAAAATAATGAACAAAGAAAGGAAGAAATGAAAAAAATGAAAAAAAAAAAATAAAACACGTCCCATTTTCAATGGTTGAATAAAAACTATAAGCTGGCAGTAGTAACAGCGAGACAGTAATTCGGATGAAATTAAAGATAGTAATTTAAGCATACTGACAACTTTTAAGGTAGTTTTTCTTCAAAAACACAAAAAAAAACAATAATTGATTAAAACCTTCTGTTTTGAATCTGCTCCAATTCTGTTTTCATGCATTTAGTGAACATTTAATTTTGTGTCTAGTGAAAACTTACTTGGAACTATTTGTCGTAAAACCAATTCAAGCATTTTTGAGCCGCCACTATTTGCCAGCGTAAGCCCCATTGTGCTGAAGAATTGATTAAATATGTTTTTATTTGATTGGGTTTTTTAAACAGAACAATTTTGAAGAACAAAATGGTTTTAAACTAAAAAATTTTCTACCCCCGTGAAGATATTGACTCCTTGTGTTCATGTTCATGAGGTTGTTTTACCTGCAATCTTGTTTGAAAAAAATGGGGGTCGGCGTGAAAATTGGCGAAGTTCTACAGTGCTGATTTAAATTAACGGGACAAAACGCGTTTTTCTCGAAATTTAAAACCCGTTTTTCTCAAATTGGGTTGAGTTTAGGTGAAAACTTATGAAGACAAAACTTGCTTAGAATTTTAGCAAAATTAATATGGTGTAATTTTTTTGCGAAATTCGGGTCCGAAATTTTACCCCAAAAATGGGTCATTTTGGCTTTTCTTAGTTAATCAAAAGTTACGCCAAAAATACCCAGTCGATCACAGACATAATTATATCAAAGTGAGCCCCTTACGTAGCCCAACAAACTTTAAGAAGGCTATTTTCTCCAAAAATAAATTGCAAATTGTTTAAAAATTGTTCTTAAATAAAAAGTTGGTATTTTATATAGTAAAAATGACCTTTTTTGTCTATCAAACAAAAAGAAATTAACTTATACAACATTTTGGAGATTATACCCTTCTTAAAGTTTATTGGGCTACGTAAGGGGTTCACTTTGATATAATTATGTCTGTGATCGACTGGGTATTTTTGGCGTAATTTTTGATTAACTAAGAAAAGCCAAAATGACCCATTTCGGGCCGGAATTTCGCAAAATAAATTACACCATATTAATTCTGCTAAAAATTTAAGCAAATTTTATCTTCATAAGTTTTCACCTAAACTCAACCCAATTTGAGAAAAACGGGTTTTAAATTTCGAGAAAAACGCGTTTTGTTCGGTTAATTTAAATCAGCACTGTATAACTCCAAACTATTGCATCTCTATGCGTCTCTATCATTCTCTCTATACGACTCAATATTTGACTTTTAACTTTTTTATACTGGCTGTTGAGGAACGATAAACAAACTGTTCATGGTTTCTAGCTCATCCAAATTTTCTCAATCTAAACTATTCGAGATTATTTTCAGGGCACACATAACATTCAAAGCTTTGTCTTAAGTAAAAGCGGTTTTGTTGTTCTGACTTTCGAAGAAGTGTCGGAATAATTGTGCTCTGGTAATTTTTTTCAAAATCCTGACAATATTCGACATGTTAATCATTCATTTGGATGGATTATTTCAAACTACTTGATAGGCATCAATGCCTGCAGCTCAAATTCAAAGAATTATTTCCCCTCTGATCATTTTTCATGAAAATATGCGAGTGTAAAGTTTGGCAATTTGAGATTATTAATGCGCAGTCTATATCTTTTTTCTAAAGCACAAGCGGCGAAATAATCGAAATTGAAATGAAGAATACTATGTAATTAATGTTTTGTTATTAGCAAAAAAATCCTTTGTATTTTATAAAGCGTGTGTGATTGGTTTTTCAATAAAAAATCTCAAAAAAAATCAGAAATGTTAATGTAAAATTTCATCATTTTTGTTTCATTTGAAAACTAATCCATAGACGCGAAATGACTATAAGGGTTTTTAAGGGAATCGCTCTGATGAGAGCAGTGTTGTTTCATTATACCGCATTAGCTGGCTTTATTGCTCCAATTTTTGAAGATTGTTACAGAATATTTGTGCTCGGGTGATTTTTTAACTAAGACAAGTTTGAGTTTTGAACTAATCATTTGTGACAGCAATTTTATATCAACTGAACACTATTGTTGTCTTGAGCTCAAAAATCAAAAATATTTTATCAGTGTTTTTTTTCGTAAGGTTATAAGCGTTTGAAAACTGCGAGTTTGACTAATTCGGGATCACTAGCCCCGATATATATCGTCCTAGCAAAGCGTAAGCGGCAAACGAAATCAGTTTTTTTTCTATTTGTTTATTAAATCCTTAAAACAAAAAACCGCTGGTTTTTAGATTGAAGTCTGCCTAACATAAATTGTAGAAGCGGCTGATATTGTGAACTGTTTTCCCTGAAGGTTTTACCTGGCTTCGACTAAATCCCAGCATCTATAATTGCCTCCGACATGCGGCAAATCACCCGAGATGTCATCAGCCGCGAGGCGCGTTCGGCTATTTCCATCACCACAAGAACCGCCTCTCTCTTTACACGATATCGACGATGCTTCTCGGTGGAATCCTCCCGAAGGCAAAGCCCAATAAGTCGAAGACACTCGGGCGGATGAGTCATAGTTTTCGTTGCCGAAAACAGGCGTCTTATTTCCCATTGGCTGATTTGTAAAAACGTTGCGATGATTGTGATTAGAGTTGCTTTGAGTAGACGAAACAGGTGTGAGGTCAAGGTTGTTTGTTGGCGCCTGAAACTCAATCAAGTATGACAGGTTTATTTTTTGGAAGATCAAATGAATTTAACATCACGATGCTTAGGCGTGAGATTTTTGCAAAACACACTTTTGTGCTTATAAGTACGCGGATTCCGTTCATTTACCTAAATATATAGTATCGCGAAAACGTGTTGCAGAAGCCGTGTCCAGGTAACTGCTAGGACAGGGCGGCATCCTCTTTTTTGCTACTTGTCACGGAATCCGCAACATGTAATTTTAGTCGAAAACTGCGGAAATTTTATACTAGATCAGACAAGCAAGAACGATTCAAGGCTTAGCGTTTAAAGCTACTGCAGCGTCCAGATTTATCAGAAAACCGACTCATATTTCTCTGGTTTTCGATATTGTATTTTTCAGGGTTGACTTATAGTCGCTATCTTGAACCCGTTCTTTCGAAAATAACACAACTTCTTGCAAAATTTAGCTCTGAGAGTGTTACATGAAAAAGAAAGTTTTCTAATTAGAAAAATTATAAGACCGATACTTTTTTATAAGAAATTTTTTTGATAGCACCTTACTCCTATAAAATGAAAAAAAAACTATGTGAAAATGTTCTATGATTGTAGAGCAGTATAGTTCTAGTTTATTTTGTAAAGATACACAGCAAGAATTAAACCAATGATGATCTCTCAAAAATCTAAATATGTAACGTTTAGAACAAATTGACTAGTACATTTCCTGAATTTTTTTTTTTCGTTATATTCAGCTATATTTTAGGGCTTCTATGAGCTTCGAACCACCAACCTACTGCTTGAGAGTATTAACTTCTATCATTTCATTCACTTTTTGCTATGAAACTAATTCTGTGCTGACCTGGTGAGTGAGTGAGTGTTTGACGTGGTAGTCTATCTCGAAGCGCAGATCAGTGTAGAAGCAGATGAAGGCCAATGGCTGCACCGCCAACAACAACTCCGTGAATAGCACCTTGTTACCTGCACCAACAAAAATGCGATAATAATAGACGAACAAGAAGCAAAATATTTTGAATCTGAAGAATTACAAAAACCGATTACGAAAAAACTGAAAATGTACATTTTTGGATTTTTTTGCTTATATTTTGTCGCTTTCTTGCAATGAGTGTGGAGGGCAAAAGACATGAAAGTTCGCCTCTCTAAATTATACTCTATAGTTTGCTAATAGTCTTACTGCCGCCATTCGCGCATAAAAAATCAAAGTGGATCAAAATACTAAAATCAAGGACAGCCAGTTCTTGTGAAAGAGCACAGAATGTTTCGAGCACACTCAATAAAAAATTAAAAAATGTTTTTTCTTTATTTTTTCAAATTCTGTCGTTTTTTGTTCGTGATGTAATGAGATATGAACAAAAGCCTAGAACTTTTACTGTTAAACGGATAGCAAAACGAATAGCAGTTCCTGGATAAACGAGTTCCTTTAACAGTTCCTGGATAAACGAGTTCCTGGATAAAAGAATAGCAAAACACAAAAAAAAACGACAGAAAGGGCTTTAATGTGATATATCCAGGAACGGATTTAGGATTTTCTTGAAGGGAGTTTTTCTAATCTTTTTCGAAACTTTTCGATCTTTTTTTAGGCTGACCAGAATGATCGCTGCCAGAACACTATAAAAATCCTATTATAAAAGTTGCAATATATGTAATTATACTGCAGTGTAACAATTATTTACTCATTCCTGACGGTAAATCAAGTTCTATTTTTTGACCAGCCTGTGGCATATACAGATAGGCATATAGTTTAGGAGAACAATATTGAAAAACTATTTAATAACGTATCCTATATCGTGTTCATTTAGGTTTTTGTTTTCAAAACTGTTAAAAATTTTGTTAGGCTCGATGGAGTAATGAAGACTTCTGCTGGCAAAAATTGGGCAATTAGAAAAAACTCTGGCGCATGGTCATATTGGCTACAAAATAGCACAATATATTCCCAATTCAATTAGTGTTTTTGATTTTTTACTTGAAACGTGTTCAAGACGAGACTAACAATTTCAAACGCCTTGTTCTAGTTTTTAGAAATGATATAGAATTGTAAAATTGAAGGCTTCAGCAAGGGCTGGAAAAAATTTTATGTTTAGTCTACGTTTTCACTAGTTTTTTAGTAAAAGTAAAATCATTTGTCTATGAAAATGTGTTCTGTAGTTTGATGAAAACTGTGTCTTTTTTTCGAACAAGCTGTGTTAAAAGATTCAATGAGTGATGGCAGTTGAGATGAAAGACACATTCCGTTGTTGCAAGTCAAAAGCCAAGGTACTTTTATCTGCTTTAATTATTCTTTTTAATAGAAGAAATAAAATTTGTGCCACTGAAAATTGATTGCTACTGTTCTACAACATTGAATTGTTCTGTTTTACAAAAATTTTTGTCATTCTTTTGTGAAACAGTATTTTTAAAACCTGTTATCAACTTCAAGTTTTTTTAAGGTTACAACACGAACGATAATTTTGAACGCTATTTTGAACGCTATTTTGAACTATTTTGAACGATGATTTTGAACGCTAATTTTTGAAACAAAAGATGAAATTTTTTCAAGAAAAATCTATATAAAACAAAGATATTGAAATTTAGTTAATCTTTTCCGCTGTTGGATTTTGTATTTAAAACTGTATATCTTTTCTCATTGGAGTTTTCCAAAAAAAACAGAGGCTATTTTTTTAATCGAATGCTACTTATTTTCTAATCATCAAATTTTGCAAACTTTTTAATTCTCTATGCTGACTCGAAACCACTTTTTTCATAGTTTTAAACATCTAATTTTTGTGCTTTAAGTTTTTTCAGTTGTTTATTTTTCAAGAGAGGTTTTATCAGTTTTCTCACAAGCTGTCAGGTCAGAACCTCTGCAGTTTTATTCCAAAAAATTATTGAAATCGTTTATTTGATTTTTACTGGCAGAAGCTTGCATGAAATAAAAATGCCACATGGAAGAAATTAAATCCCTAAGTTAAATAGCTATTTAATAAATCAAATGAAAGCCATATTGTTTTTTAAACTTCCAAGAATTTGGTTTTTTTTTTCAAAATCAAACATATGTGAGATTGGATGAAAATAAGTAAAAAGTATCGCTTTGCCGTTGGTCTCTCAGTTTACTTTTTGAGAATATATTTGTACGTATTATCAGTTTTTTGGTACTAAAATTATAGAAATATCAAGATTACTACTATAACTAAGGGTTTGTTTCTATCGAGTATCATGCTCCAGCGACTTTCAATAAAGACCACGTCGACATTTAGACTTTAAGGATATACCAGAGATTTTGATAGAAAAATAACAAGAAAAGATACTACGAAAACAAAATAAAAATCCCACATCAGACTGTAGGAGGCTTAAAAAACTTGTCATTAAGAGTGGCCTCAAAACAATTTATGGACTTTTGAGATGCTGCGCTTTGTTTTGAAAAACAACAACCTATGATAATAGCTGAGGATCACTATCCCGCTTTTCGAATGGATACATTAAACGTGTCAAGCCGAAAATGAAAAAAGGAGGTGTCGTGATTCTCACTCACAAGAACTTGAACCCTATTGTACACAGTGCCAGAGATTCAGTAATTTAAACAAATTTGTTTTGTTTTTGCGAATTTATATGACTGCAAGTTGATTTTTCTGGAAATCTGAACTTGACAAAGCCTGAGAAATGAAATCTTTGGACGCAATTTCTTTTTGAAATTTAGTTTTTACAAAAATTGCAAATCAATCATTATCACCGCGTTCAAAAGCACTGATTTGTTATACTATCACAGTAGTGACTTCAGTAGAATTGAAGATCAAGTTTTAAACTTGTATCCTTCTACAGAAAAAGACCCCTGAGTTGCAAAAATTTTATCGGAAATAGAATTATTTGTCAAAATCATTAAGTTGAATCCAATCTAAAATATTTGAAATATTTGATAAAATGTCCAGAAAACATTTGAAGACTGTCCTAATAATTCTGAACTGTTAAATCATTAAAGCTAAAAATACCTGAAGAAAAAAAATTAATTAAATTCTACTGTAGTAAAATGCTTGAAAACAGATAATAAATCAAAAGTAGCAATTGTTTCGAAAAGCAAACTAAAAAATAGGCTAAGCGACGATAACTTCCTTCGCAAAACCAAAAAAAAATGCCGGAGCGATTGATGGAGAAAAAGCAAAATTTAAAATTACTTTTAAATTAAAATTCTTCACAATTTTTTGGAGGTCTACAAACAAACAACTTAAAACTGCGAAATTAGAGAATTATAGATTTTCAAATTTCGGCTGTTTTGTTTATAAAAAGATATTAATAACCGTGTTGACTTGCTCAGTAGTATTTTAAGCACAACAAAAATAAAAACAAATTCATCATTTGAAATAGCAAAAGCATTTGATTCAATTTCTTAGAATAATTTTCAGAATCTGAGTTTCTCTGAACCAGAAATAAAAAGTTATGTAAGCTGATGGCAGCAAAAAATTCCTTAAAAAAATAACACAAAAATACTCTGAGCTGCTCTTTTGCTATCAAGATAACATGGACTATGTTTTACAGCTACTGTAGGAGTCTTGTCAATATTTGTCCACTAACTAATAGGACATTCTTTTAATTTAATACTAACAAAAGTGAGCTGATAATTTATTGCAAAAATTAGCACGGCATATACGCAAAACGAAAAACATTACGCTACTTAGTTTAAAAACTTTAGAAGCAAAACAGGTGAATTATCTAGATTATTATCAGTATCTTGCTCAATTTTCAATGAACGCTTTAGTATAAGCCATTTTCTTTAACTAGGTATAACTTCAAGTGCTTTTAGCACAAATATAAAACTATCACTCAAAAATAACTAATTGGGCAATTAAGACCTGATGTGACAGAAGACTTTTTGAAGCCTCATCCGATCTTACACCAACTTACTTTGTACTACAGTTTCAATGTTCCTTGATTGGAAACTAGTCTGTCATCTTCTCTGGAAAATCGAACATAATCTATTTCCAGCATACGCAAGAACCGATTTCGAGAAGAAGGCTATTAAAAAGAACAGAAGGACTAAAAATGTGTTTTTTAGAAATGTTTCTGCAGTCAAATTATCAAACGCAGTTTTTTCAAAATATCAGTTTTGTTTTCAAATCACCAGCAGTAGGTGAACTTTTCAAACAAGGAAATTTAAATTGAGATATGTTTTTCCTCTATGTTTAGTGAAGCTCTCAGCGGCAAATATCAAGAGTATGTTTAGTATAATTTTTATGGTTTAAGACTGGATCATGTCAAAAACTTCTATTTTCGATTAAAATTATTTCTTTTTATATTGAAATGTTTATAGTTTTTGTCAGTGTTTTTTCCCATTTTGCCTCTTAAATGTTGTCGAAATTGTCTAATTGCGATCAGAAAAATTAGGTTTTTTCAAGTTTATTTTTTAGGATGAAGCAAACTCCTACTGAGTAGAGTGGGAAGCCCTGGACTGGAGATGAGCCAACTGTTGCTGTTGTTCACTACTCCTTGTTGTGACTGACTCTGAAGAGAGGAGGAGTTGAATGAAGAGGAGGTGGAGGAGAAGGAGGAGGAGGGTCGTCTGTTGTGTGAGTCATAGCAGCCACTGATCAAAGCTGCAAACACGTTCAAATCGATCACGAGAATTGCACAGAAACCTAAGTTTTATTTTTATCGGGTAAGATTTTCCCATATCATTAACAGTCGAGTTTAAAATTAATACAACGATTTTAGAGAATTTTGAGACCATTATGCGTGCTTTAAATATATGCTTGCCCAACTGTGTTTTAATGACTGTAATTGAACCCAATGAAATACTTTACACTCACATGAATTTTTGAGCAGCAATAGAAGCCAAGTTTCCATGATTTTTTGACTGAAACACAACAAAAACTCGATTCCATGATTCGAATCCAGTTGTGAGTCAACTTTTATCAGAATCCTTACACCAGCTTTTTAACCAAATTCATAATCAAAATTTAGACTCAGAAATACAAATGTGCTTATGACTCACTTGAGGAGTCCGAAAACGAACGAGTTGAATTTCTCCTCGGTGGATTCCAGTTCGCTCATCACAGACACACTCAGACACAACTCATGAATGCAGGTCACGCCAGGCACTGAAAAAACACCCATAGTTTGAGAAAAAAGTCAAAAAAAGTGCCGGAAGAATAACTTATAGTGCGTAACTCATTAAGATCAACAGATTAAAGCTCGTAAATTATGATCGTCAATTTCTGAAATGTTCATTTTAAGTTGCGACTTTTTACCATCAATCAAAATTTTGAGAAACTATTCTTAAATGCATTCGTTAAATCTATTCATCGAAAAGTTAAAGGTAAAGATAAGAAACCTAATGCTTTTGGTTCTCTCGATTGTGGATTTATAAGCCCAAATAAAAAGGAAAAAGTGACAAAAAAATGACAAAACACAATTGAATGGAGCTCACCAGGCACCGCGCCGAGTCTGACCACCTCCCAGGGAGTGTACTTTGGGGAGAGTCCAGAAGCGACCAGCTGCAACAGCTGTGGACACAGACCACTCAGCACCAGATGGGACAACTCACCTGAAAATCTTTTTCCTCTAGAAAGTGCCCTATACTGAATTTACTAATAATATTTCATAATTTTAAAAGTTAATAAAAGCTGTTTTATATTCAATAGTTTGATTTCAATTGATTTTGTTTTGGAAACTTTTTGTATTTTTGTAAATTTTACCGAGTTAATAAAAAGATCATGAGTTTTTTCAGGTTTTTTGAGTTTTTCAAATATAAAAAAATGCTCGGATCACAGTAATCATTGCCAAAAAAAATTAAAAAATTAAATTCCGGTATACTACACTACGTGGTTGCAACGATATATTTGTCAGCAATATCTAAAAATCATTTTCATAATAAAAGTGACGAATGCTCACGACTCTGCATCTCGTCTCGCTTTCGCCTCCAGTCGCCGCCAACTCCCCCTCCTATGCCCGAGGATGTTCCCGCCAGGAAGGAAGATTTCTTCGTCTTGCAGTTGAGCTCTGTGAAACCCTGAAAACAAAAACACGCTATATTTTAGAGTATCTGAAAGAAAAATTGCAAAAGCTCATTTGCAAAGTAGTTACTTTGAAATATCTTGCTAAAATTGCACAAGCTCACTTAACTGTCTAAATTGATAGTGCAACGAAAAAACTTAAGACCCAAAAACTGCTTCTACTTTTTCTTCAAGATTCAGAAATAAAAAAAACAGAAGGAATTTGAAAACTATTGAAACAAGAATCTTCCGAAAAAGCAGATTTTTTGAGTTGTTTGCAATGAAGAAACATGAAAAAATTTAACCGAAGGATTGAAAAACTCGAACAGTATGATTTATTAATTGTGATATGATCCTTATTGACAATTAAGTTCACAAATTTTCTCTTATCCGTTATCTAATGTGTTATTTTACGCTTGATCACAATATGATTTCTGTAGCGTAAACAAAATAGGTAACTGACCTTTGAAATTGGACATTTTAAAAAGCAACTAAGTATTTAATTGACCTTGACGCTTATTTGAAGCCGTTATCCAAAATTGACAGCTATTCAAAGGATTAAGATTTCGAACTTGACTTATTTCGCACAAAAGAGAGGGACCTCCCAAAAAGATAGCAGGTCACGGGAAGAAAAACAAAAGATGTCTCGAGAAATCACCGTAATTGTTACGTAATAATTGTTCAATTCTAACGTAATTACATAATCAGATATCCTGAATTATGCATTTTTTGATAATGATCGGCTACAATAAATTCGTGTGGATGTTCAACAAACCGCCATAGCTTGAAGCCGAAAATATCTCAGAATAACGTAAATCACATCAGGTACCGACTGAGATCGATGCCAATAAAGTGAAAACTATTGTGCTATTTATCTTTTCAGAATATTTTGAGGAACTTTCATTTTCAAAAAATCTTGAAATGTGTGTTTATTTAAAGTAAAATGATGCCAAAACAGAATTTGATTTCCAACAGTACGATAAAATAATTCTCGAAGAGCTGTGTGGAAAAAAAATGGTGAGCCGCTCATAGTAAAAGTCAAACTTGTCTGTCAAGTTCGATTAACAAAAACGCAAAAAGATATTATTGGGAAGAAATTAAGTTAGAAACACTAAGCTGGTTTTCAGTTGTCAGAAAATGTACATTGGGACAAAATGAAGCGATAGTTTTGAATAAAAGACCGTTTATGTATTTTCAAAAAAAAAAAAATTTTAAAGAAAAGCTGAAAATAGCACCTCTTTCGCGTGAACGAGAAAATATCTAGTAACCTCAAACGAACTCCCATCATCAGCAAATACAATAAAATCAAGTTAAGGGAGTTTTTGGGTTCATTTAGCCTTTTTTCAGATCCTCTCATCACACCACGATCAAATTGCTTATAATTTCGTATTATTGTTGCTGGTCGGAAACTTCTGTGCTACTTACACAGCAACCTGCTATATCCTTGTTTTTTTAAATTAAATATGTTGATCAATATATGTTTTTTTTGAGAGAAATTCTTTCACAAAATACAAAATGCTCTACCAAAAAAATTGCGCCGTAAGTAAAATTTTGATTTATTTACTGAATATTATTTTTTTTTCAGCGCACGGTCGCTCCTCAACAAGATTAGTAAACTATTGTGCTCTCAAAAGGCGCCTTCAGATCATTAGACGGATAGAATTTGATCTGAACATGAGTTTATCGCTTAAAGCGGCAGAAGTTTTACAATTTACCAATCAGTTTCCCATAAACGACCTCTCATTTTTGCTATCAGTAGAGTTTGGCTTTTAAGCTTGCTCTAAGTACGTGCTTTTCAGGAAACCTCATCATTTCAGTACCACACATCCAATTACATGTAAAAATTACCTTCAACGATAACCCATAAAATCATCTTCACTACATTTTATACAATTACCTACACTTTAATAATTTTAAGTTTGTCATTCCCATCAGTGTCGGTCAAAAATGATTGACATAGTAAGGGGGGATCAAATTTTTGTCTGCCTATGTGTCGATATGGCTGTCTATCACCCATCACAATACATAGCCTATAGCTATGGGGGCATCTGGGCTATAGTGTAGGCATAGGGGGGACAGGGGTAAATAGAAACAAGACAGAGGTAAAGAGATGTGTTGTCTTCTCTTGTCCCCCACCCACCCTTCTGTCCAAAGTGAAAATCCTCCGCCGCCGTCAATCAATCCAAATCCAAATCCATACATACGTCCGAAGTGCATTCAGAATTCAACGGCTGGTCATTTAGCCGACGATGAAAGACATTGAAGAGAAGCCGAAAGGTCAAACGGTTGTTTTGCATTTCATTTAACGCCTTTTTTGGCCATCCAAACATTCAGCATTGCTTCGAAATAGAATTAAAATGTAACTTAGTTTAATTTATTACAAGATGACGTATAAAAAGAAAAAGTCTTTAAAAATCGAAAAATATAAAAGAACCCGAAAATTTCATAAGACAAAAATTCAATAAATTGAAATTCTATAGCGTGTTAAACTTATCAGTTAGCAGTGTCTGAAATTAGTAAACAAATATGTGAAAAAACGTGAACTAAATTATAACCAGTGACTTTTTGATTTTTCTGTAGGGACGAAGGCGGCGTTCGAGTACAGTGTGGCTGGCTTTGTTATGCTAATTGTGCATTTATGCCTAGTGGTGCTTTGGGAGCACTTGAGCCATACAATAAAATTGATTTTATCAAAGAGCGTCCTCTCAACCCACTGATTAGGGCGGGACAGGTGCTTTCTGGGTAGAATAGCCCATTCAGCAAATGCTCTCTCAGGGGCATTCAAAAGTCCATTAATTCATCTGGTCTATTCTACTCCGGCTCCTTATCGCCACTATCTCATGCCCAGTCAACTCAGCCCAACCACCTCTGAAGAGCCAGCCCAGAATGAAGTTCAAAAAGACAAAAAGAATGAAATTAGGAAAAAAGAGCAAAACCAGTCAAATGAGTACAAGCAATAAAAACTAAAAAAACAACGAAAAAGTCAAATACAAAAATTATTCATAAAAAATACCCGAAATTATAATTTTTTTAAATTGCGGCTTTGATTTTAGATCGAGCTATTATGTTTTTTTAATTAATAGTTTAACTGAGCTAATTTAACCCTAAGACTACGAGAACAACAGAAACTCATACTTAGGGCTGTTTTGGAAAAAATCCAGGTAGCTTTTCAAGCAGTTCGAACCATTCAAGCTCTTGCTTTAACTATTTGGGATACATTTATTGCAACTTTGTTTTCATTGCACATAAAAAACGGATCAAAAAATTTGTCGACTTCGAAAAGCCCAAAGTTTCCCCAAAGTTTCCCCACAGTCAATGCAAACTTTGACCAACAAACTCCTCAAGGAGCTTTCAAAAAAAGCTGTTTGTATAACAATTTTAAGCCTTCTACAACATTTAACAAAAAGTAAATTTTCCTAAGAAAAAAATTGGAGACGTGATGACAAAAGTTTTTGACTGATATCATAAAAATTTTTTGGGAACAGTATTTTGCTCTCTATTTGAAAATTATTTGATCAAACTTAAACTAAAAATTATTTTGCATAGTTCTAATTACAATACGAACACTTAATTTCTAAATTTTTGATTTATTGTGCTTATTAGGCAGTAAATAACCGTCTGCGTTATAATACAAAAAGACAGTATTATATGTTTTTTATGCTAATCAGACCTACAGCTTATTTCACATACCAAAATTTAGGTCACACTTAGTACTTGGTGGTTGAAAATGTGCATGATAATTGATTTGTTTATTGCTTTTGTTTATTTCTTCGGAAGTGGCAATAGCGGAAACTTCGAATTGATTAGCATTGGAAATAGATTAGGTATAATTAAAATGAAAAGGAAGTAGGAAAAGTTGCACTACTTAAAACCAGGTGATTCGTACTGATATCTTGGTTATAAATTATAACACGAATTGAGATTAATTCGCGATAGGTATACACTAGTTTCCTGTTTTAACACACTTTAAAACAGATGAAACAGTTTCTTCAAATAAAAGGATATTATAGCGGCCTTATAAATCACCCCCTGGTTGCGAGCGGGGATACGCCCTGTGAGCCCCTAATTGAGCACTTTTTGATCTGCACACTCTCTGCGCAACACTGTTCACGCCCTTTGCACTTCTAACTAATGGGGGGAGGGGGCTGGAAACAGGAACAAATGACACGCCAGTTAAAATAAGCATCGTCGAAAAGTATTGAGTCACATCAATAAACATGGGCTCTCAGTTATAGCAGTGTTTCGAACAATTTCAAAATTCGAAAAGTTTTGAAGCTAAAATGCTTAAACTCATGTGCGAGATTTTCAAAAGAAAAAACTCAAACATATTTGTTTTGGTTCAACCAATGATTTAATTTTATGCAATCTTGAGAAAGAAAAGTAAACTATTTTCAGATAACTTTTCCCAGCTTGCTCGCATTTTTTGACGGCCAAATTTTGATTCCTGTGGCCAACTTGGATGGTTCAGTCAAGAGGGAATGCATTTACAAAAGAGTTTTTTCCTGAAAAATATCAGGTTCAATTGACCAAAAAATGATGTAAAATAAGATGTCTGTTGAGTGTCGATAGAAAGGGATCTACATCTTGGTGAAAGGAAAAGAAATTTCGGTTTTTGAGCAAACTAGATTTCTAACAAAAGAAACGAACTTTTTTTTTAAATGAGAAGCCTTAATTTTGTAAGATTTTGTGTAGGAGGAAGCGAAAACTAAGTCAGCCATTAACAGAAACAAATTCAGTCATTGCAATAAATTTTTACCAGTGATAATTATATGCTTTTTCTTTTTTGCAAAAATTTTCATATTTTTTCACCTGCACTTCAATTTTTATTTATACGAAATCAAAATTTATAGAAGGCAATTTTAAATCCACAGAAAACAAAAAAGACTAGGCCAAAAAATTTAAAAAATCTCTCTCAGCTTGCAAATGCTAATTGAACGAAATAATTTCTTTCAACAACAAAAAAAACAAATATTTGCGTTTTTACTATACGTTTTCAGCAACCCCTCTGAACCTACTT